ATGACCTGGTTTTCAAAGGAATACAGAAGATGCTTTGTATATACAACATAATCTTTCTTGTCATCTTCTTTCCATTCTCCTGGTCCTTTCTCCTCTGTAACTGTGTAACTTGCTTCTTCTTGAAGCTGTAAAATTGAATGGAAAAAAATCTCAAAATTTGTATAATTTACTATTCAGGTACATATTCAGGTTTTTTTTCCTAAACAAAAGTGAGCCTCTCTTATACCTGTAAAACATAATCCAAACTTGGGGCTGGTGCTGAAGTGTGTCACCCCAGGAGACCAGGAATGAAGCATAGAGCGAGTGTATTCCTAGAGCTCTGGAAGAAGCAGAGAGAAAGTTGCTGCTACAACATCCTTGGAGAGGAGGCTTCTCTCCAGCTCCTTTGGAGAAGCTAATCCTTGAAGATAGGGAAGAACAAGTACTATGGTGCCCAAGGTGCCTCCTTCCACAGGGCTTTAAGAGGATAAGGTCCTATACATCCAACTGTAGCACTGAGTCTAACACTGTAGTGTCCAGTCTCACAATCTTTAATGTATTTATGCTTCCACAGCCCTCTGAGGTAGGGTAGTACTATAATTCCAGGGGGGGTTTTGCACAGAGAGAGAGAGATGGTGACTTACCCAAGATCTAGAGACAGACTGTCACGGCAAATAATTGCCTGGAGGTCTCTCTGTCTTAGGCTAATGCTCTAACCATGGGACTGTCCTTCTTCTTTACAACTCTCATCCCCAATTACATACCTGTTCAGGGCTTTTCCTTAGGTTTTTAGTCCCTCTAAGTGTTTAAGTACCTCAAGTACCTCAATTCCCATTGCCTGCTAGAGTGATTTTTAGTATGGGGGTTTTCTTGTTTTTTTTGTTTTTTGTTTTTTTGGTTACTAGTTCTTTGGTGTGATTTTTTAGTATTCTTTAGAACATTACTTCTGGCTCTCTGGTGTGTATTACTTAATTAGTCTGTGGCAACAGCAAAACCAAATATGCCAAGTTTCAGAGTGTACTTATACAAAAAGTCAAACCCAGGATTGAAATGTACAGGTCTAAAGTTCTAACTGATGTTGCCCCTCTTTTCCATTGACAGAATGAAATTTCTTGCAATGCTCATGTATCCTTTTATCAGCAGTTTGATATACTGCCAAACCTATTCAAAAACTTCAAACTTCTCTGTTGCAGGAAAACAGTAGGTATACTGGTAATGGGGGAGTTAGTTTTGTTATTAGTTTTTAGAGAAAGAGAAAACATACCAGAGATATAAATAAGAAATCACAAGAAAAAATTCAAATTGCCATCTGCACATTTTCTGTGTTAACAGCATTGCCAACTTCTTGTTTAATAAACAGTTGATCCTAATGTAAAATTACTAAGAAAAGATAGTAAATTGGACATATGCCTCAAATCATTTGATCAAACATCATATATAAACTTATGAGAGAAAGGACTAAGTTCTTACAGCATGTTTCCAATAGGAACACTAGGATTAATAGTAAAAAGAAATGAGAAGCTTATTAGTGCAGGTGAAATTAGAAATCCATCCAGTCTAGCACGGAAGGGGGTCTTGGCAAAAAAGACAATTAATGCCTAAATATACAGAAAGAACAAGCACCTTAAAAGTGTTTTAAGGAACTAAGCTCTAGGTCTGCTTTTGTCAATGGTTGATAGACTTGTATCTTCCCGGAAAGTGTCTATAGTGGGCTGGTAGCCTAAAATGGTACATATTTCCATAAGAGTGACTGACCTTTGCTGGGAGCAGGATAGCAGTTTCTTCCTTGGTCCAATCCAAGTTCTGTCTTGGGGCTTGAGTCAGGAAAAATCAAGATTTGAATACTTTAACAGGTGATGTCACCAGCTACTTTCAGGATTTTTTCTTTATTCCAGATGTTGAACAGGGAAATGATAATGAACATTTTCTGTATATCAGTGGTGCTCCAGGATTTGGCTCTGCAGGCCAGATGAATGGTGCAGGAGCTGGTCTGCAGGCTGGATCAAGCCTGGCCCCACATGCTAGAATCGGGCCCTGGGACCCCTGTTCAGTCTTGTATGCTGGGAGTGGGCCCTGTGCACCCAATCTAGCGCACAGAGTTTTTGGGAGTCCTGCAGGTCAAATGATGGGTGTCAGGGACTGGATCTAGACTGCAGACCAGAGGATGAACATCAGCAGTCTACATTAGTCTTATTTCCCAGTTTGTACCAGCTCCTTTCATCAGAGATTGCTTTCTAAAAGATTAAACAGTTCTTTCCTAACTTGGGCTTCAGGCTGAAAGTTATTTGGGTAGCCCGGAGTAAAATATTTGCAGCATTCATCTTGGTTTCTGTTTTTTCCAATGTGGTTGCTATTGCAGAATGATTTTTAAGAAACTCTTCAAGTCAAAAGTTTCTCCTTGTAGGCACAATCTTATTTCACTGCACATGCCCAAATAGCAGTTTTCCAGCCATCTGACATTTTTGGCATTTACACATAGTGTGTGACCCTACTCCCTAGTCAGTGTGAACACATAAGCATCCATGCAGCTATTGAGTGCACACAATAAGCTGTGCACTGCCCAGACAGGTTCATAGCTCTGCATGTTTCTTCAAGTCATGCAGTTCTAACCAACAACAACCCATGATTAATAGAGTGTGAAATTTCACTGCCAGTTTTGTTTCAACACTGTTTCGACTTGTTTCGAGTTCAAAACAGTGAAATTGAAATGAAACAGATATCCTCGAAACAGCCTCGAAACAAAACGAGGTAAGTTGAAATGTTTCAACACTGTTTCGACATTTTGCCTATAGGCTATAATTGGGAAGGTTGAAACAGCCTATAACTTTGTCATGTCTGGCCTGATTTGGATGGAACTTGCAGGAACGGTAGCCCCTTCTGAGGGCATGAAGTCTGCCAAGTTTCAAGGAGATAAGTACAGGGGGGTTGGGAAAACTGCACCCCAAAGTCTTAAAAGCAAAACTCCAGGTCACATGTATGTGTTAAGCCACAGCGGGGTCAAAACTGCAGGCATGCTAGTCCCTAATGAGGCCACAAAGCCTGCCAAGTTTCAAGGAGATAGGTGCAGAGGTTTGGGAGAAACTGCACCTCAAGCTGCAGACAAGCAAAACCCGTGACATGGGTAACACTGTGTGTTAAGGTGCAGCAGGGTCAAGGCACCTGCTGAGGTCATGAATCCTGCCAGCTTTCAAAGAGATTGGTGCAGGGGTTCTGGATTCTGGGGCCCTGCACCTCTATCTGCTGACAGGCAAAACTCATAACATGGGTGCTTGCGGGACTGTGTCTGTCTTGGGTCAGAGGGAGGTGAAAACTGCAGGCCAGCTAGGCCCTGCTGTGGCCATGAAGCCTGCCAGCTGTTAAGAAGATCGGTGCAGGGGGATTCTGGGGCTCTGCACCCCTAGCTGCTGACAGGCAAAACTCGTGACATGGGTCCTTGTGCAACTGCTGCCTCTCATCAGGCAGCAGGACTGAAGATTCCCCATCACTTGCCACCACAGACCTGGGGGTAATAATTGACCACAGAATGAACATGAGCCAGCAGTGCAATGCTGTAGCCAGCAGGGCCAGCAATACCCTGGCATGCATCAATTGATGCATTGCCAGCAAAACCAGCAAAACTATTGCAAAGAAGTGATTCTCCTGCTCTACTTGGCTCTACTTGGCATTAGTGAGACTGCAGCTGGAGTACTGTGTCCAGTTCTGGGCTCTGCACTATAACAAGGGCGTGGTAAAGCTTGAGAGAGTCCAGAGAAGGGCTACCCATATGATCAGAGACTTGCATGGCAAGCCATATGAGGAAAGGCTGAGGGACCTGGGACTCTTCAGCCTGAAGAAGAGAAGGCTGAGAGGGTACTTGGTAGCAGCTTACTGCTACATCAGAACTGTACATCTAGGGCTCGGTGAACAACTGTTCACCAGGGCACCCTGGGGAAAAACTAGGAGTAATGGTCACAAACTCCTGGAAGATTGTTTCAGGCTTGTTTCAGGCTCAACATTAGGAAAAACTACTTTACAACTAGGGTGTCCAGACTGTGACCATCACTCCAAGAGGTGAGAGTGCCAAAAAAGGAGCTGTCTGCAACCTCTCCCTTGAGGGCAGAGCAGGGGTGGATTGGCCCACAATGTAGCAAAAGCCATGTTCTAAATTAGTTCTCAGCTGCAGTGTGAATCTTCTAGGGATTTTTGGAGCTCAGCATACTCTAACCTTTTTCCCATCAGCTCCCACATCTTGCCTCTGATATAGGTTCTAGGGACTACAGTGTATGCCCTCACTGCCCAATGCAGTACCATGCAGAGGTACCTGAGCTAGTTCAGCTAGTACTAGCTATACTAGCTAGTATACCAGCTATACTAGCAGTATAGCAGCATTAGTACAAAGTGCCACATGGACTAATTTACCCTGCAGAGCTCTTTACTCAAGGAGTTACACTGCTTATAGTACCTAAAAGCTACCTCATTGAGAGCTAACTCAGGTAACTATATGCATCACCGCATTGAGAAGAGGTGATGGAGGACTGCTGCACTGGATTCATGGTCACCCAGGTTATCCCTGACACTGGGAAAATGAAGATTGCAGCCCAGGAAAAATAACTATATGTGCAATATAGTTAATAGTGAGAAAAAATAGGGATTGATTGCAGAATTACTGAGCATTTGCTGATCTTCATGACGAAGTAGAATTGAACACTAAGTAACTTGCTCAAGACCTCAGGAGGAATTCCTGTCCATAAGTGGGGTTGAACTCAGATATTTCAGATCTTAATCACCTGTTCAGATTGTTTCTCTGTTTCACCCAATTAATTCTGTTTAATTTCTGGTACCAGAAGGAGTGTTTTTCATGTTAGTTGCATTTATATACAGTAATTTAGGATATAAACAATCACTATTGCTGTTTTCTAATATTTTATTCATGTTCTGCTGAGATGCAGTATTGATTTAGTTTGTAAATTTAATACATTAAGATTAAAAACATATATTTGTCTTTAAAGTAACCAAGATTTCCCTCTCTCCCATTTTACTAGTTCTGTTGCTGAAGCTGAAGGAATTGAGCCATTAATAAATGTCCTGAGTACTAAAAGAGACGGGGCTGTTGCTAACGCTGCAATAGTACTAACAAATATGGCCACACAGGAGCCATTACGTCTCAGCATCCAGTGTCACAGCATTATGAATGCAATTGTAGAACCACTGCAGTCTGCCAACAGCCAAGTACAAAGCAAAGCAGTGCTTACTGTGGCTGCATTTGGTTGTGATGCTGATGCAAGAACTGAGGTGAGGCTTAGAAGTAACTCCTGTCTGTTTTGTGAGATGTTGGTTATTCATTACATTTCTTTTTTTAAAATCCTGATGTTTGTGTTTTTCTGAAAAATCCTTCAGTTCATATAAAGTATGTCATTTTGTGCCTCTTTAATGGATAAAGTTTTATTCTGGAAAGCTCTGTTCAGGTTGTCACATATTTAAGAGTTTCTCTGATCTTGATTTTCATTGCTGTAGATATTTGTAAATTAATTGGGCCAAATTAATCTCTTGTGGAATGCCTATTTCAATGAGCTTTCACCACATGTTTATGTCTAGATTCCCAGAATCAAGAAATAGTAAAAATTAATGTATGCCTCCAACAGGACTCTCAGTCCTATTTTGAAGATGGGAAACCCTCATCTCCTTTGTTCTTTTACTATCTACCTCAAGGCTTTGGTGTCATAGTGACTGACCCTGTGATTAATGAGTGGCAGACATGACTACAGTAAATATAATTCAAACAGAAGGTAATTAATCCTTTGGTTAGTGGGACCTAGTAAGTGAGCCTGGGCCCACCTATTTATCAATAGACATGTTGTCTTCTGTTCATTATCCAAGGATGGTGTCTCACACATTCACACACCATAAATTGGAGCCTTCTTAAGGGTCAAGGCAGCTGGTCAGGTCAAGAAATAGGGGCATGGGATAATCCATCTATCTGTCTTTACATACTTAAAACATATCTCACCAATAACATCAGAATGAGCGATATTTCTAGGAGCACTTTGGAAAAATATTGTAGCACAAAGGATGGGTATTAGTAACATCATATGTACAAGGGAACACAAAATTTATAGATATAATGATGTAAATTAGTTGTCAGGGGCATCAGGACTCAGAAAGTGCTGTACAACTCTTCATGGTGACCTCAGGATGTACAGTATTTAGAGTATAATATAGTGGTTGACAAGACCAGAGCCAGAATGGGAATGCATATGTGTAGGTCCAGCCACATTCAAGCTCCCTTCAGTGTCAGTATGAGGGCATACAGATGATCAGAGATATTCCTTCTTATATAACTGTTCTTCCAACCCCCTCCATCTACCTTCATATTTTATCTAAGGGCTTTCAGATGGGGGCTTGCACAGATCCACATTTCTGGGCTGAATGTAACCCTTCAGAAGCAATCTCTTTATGCCTGTTTCTAGTTAAGAAATGCCGGTGGACTGGAACCGCTTGTTAAGCTGCTGCATTCTAGAAATGAAGAAGTCAGAAGAAATGCCTGTTGGGCTGCTGTGGTTTGTGCAAGTGATGAACTAACAGCAGTTGAACTATGCAGGCTAGGGTGAGTAGAAATAGTATCAAGGGTCGAGAGGGGGATGGTGTTGTCAAAGACTGACAAAGCATATGTTTACATATTTGTGCCTGTAGGCCAAAGTTAAGTGTGCATTTCTTAAGCAGAAGTAGTTCTCACAACATAACACAAGGAAATATATTCTGAAATCCTTATTTCAGAAGGAATGTTATTGATTCTATATATCAAGTGTACTGAGAAAAACAATACCTTAATTTGGGCCCTACTTGTCCAGAATTCTAGAAGTACAGTTAGTGCTGGTATTATGACCTAATAAAACTATGAGTTCACTTTTAATATGAACCATATCGACAAAATTAGGATTTACCATGCAGAGATCATATATTTTTTAGACTAACACTGGGCACGTCTACATAAGATGCTAACTGCACAGTAGCTAAATAATACTGCACAGTAGCACGTCACAGCATGTAATAGTAAGGGCTTTGCTTAATGCTCATAGCAAGAGTTTTGTATGCTGACTCCATAGTAGGCCAGTATTATAGCACGTAGCTTCTTGCTTTGTGAGAGTGACCGAACCATGAACCTAGATAGTAGGATGTTGTAATAAAGCGGAATGTGGTAAACACCAGGTGTGTTGGATCACAACTCATCCCCAAATTCTTAGCTTGAGATAACCAAATCCCTAGTTCGAGATAACGTTATTTACTCCAGACTATATAAGCTGTATGTACATTCTTAAATTACGGGAGTTCCTCAAACTCTGTCAAGAATCCTGACTTGCGCAGAGCCCGGCGCAGACTATCGCATCCCTGGGATTGAGACACTCCAGGACCAGGGGAACTATGCAGGGTAGCGGCTGCTGCCTAGAGCCGATGTGAAGTGATCTTCCTCTCTGCTCTGTCTTATTGCCTGCTTCTGCGAGTATCCTTAAATAAAGCTTTGCAAGAGTGAGAACAATCGTGAGTATGTCCTTTGTTCAAGCGCGGGGAATCTTCTGAACCCAGTAGCTCATTGTAAGACACAGCACCAACAGTGATAATATGCTACTGTACAGCATTATTAGGCTAGTGTGCAGTAGTGTCACTTAAAAGGCATTCATGAGCACTACTGCGCAGTAACTCCAGTTACTACACATTTATGTAGTACTTATTTATACAAGTACTAAATAAACGTGCATTAATCACTGTGTAGACATGCCCACTGTGGGCCAAATTCAGCTCACACTGAACACATTTCATGAGAGAAGAATGTGGCTTCCGTGTCCTAATGTAATGTACTGAAATATCCTGAAAAGTAGCTGTGCTGGAACAATACAAAAAGTATACTGTACAAGGGAATTAACATATTTAATTCCTCCTCAAAGACTGCAGTTTCCATACATAAAGCTTATACATGTGCTCTGGGAGTGGGCCAGGGGGTGCTTTAATTAGAGCAGCTCTTGGAGCTGCGGCTCTCAGAGCCACTCTAATTAAAGTGCCCAGAGTGTTTTGTGTATCAGCATCCCTGCACTTCAAAATGGTGGTGGGAGCACTTTTTCTAAAGCTTATCAAACGAACTTTAGATAAAGCGCCACCACTGCCATTCTGAAGTGCAGGGACACTGATACATGAGATGCGGGAGACTGGTAGAGCACTGTAATTTCCACATTCCAGCAGGCTTGATTAATCCAGTCTGCTCCGACACACTGGAATTACAGTGCATCTGAGCAGCCTTCCTGCTCATGTATAGGCACCAAAACATTTCAGCTGAGGAAATGATGTTAAGCTGGAGGGTTTATGACAGAACCAGAACTTTCCAGAATGATTATATATTTGTTACTATGAAATGCATCTAATTCTCATAGCCCTGCTGTTAGAACCCATACTGGATACTCACCGAGCTGCTCCATTTGGACCCCCCCCACCATGTTAGATAAATGTATTTTCTGGTTATTCAAGTTTGGTTGATAGGTCTGTAATTCCTTGGCTCTTCCTTCCTCCCCTTTTTAAAGATGGATATTGTGTTTGACCTTCTCCAGTCTTCAGGGTCTGTCCCTGTTCTCCATGAGCTCTCCAAAACAATCTCTAATGGCCAGAGATTGCTTTAGCTTGTTCCTAAAATACTCTGGAATAAATTTCATCAGGCCCTGCTGACTTGAATATATAATGTATCTCAGTATTTTTAATCATTGTTTCCTTGTTCTGATCTTCATTTTTGTCTCCTAGTTGTTAATATTAATTGAGCTAAGCTTTTGATCATAATTAACGACTTTTGTGAAGACTGAAATAAAAAATGCCTTGAACATATCCAACTTCCCTTTGTTATCAATTATTTGCTTTCCTTTTCTGCTAAGTAATGCATCTATGTTTTCCATCCTCTTTCTCTTATTTCTAATGTGTTTATTGTCTTTTCTTATTGTCTTTTATGTCTCCTGCTACTTGGTAGCACTACAAATGAACATGTGTCCACAGCTAGACACAGGCCTTGCAAAGTGCTCAAGTATAATTATTTTACTTCAAATAGCACAAGAAATATAGTGGGTGCAGACAGAAGTAACAATTGAAAATTCTGAAATGCCTTTAAAACTTTTGAGAGGGCCAGTTGTACAGATGTACAAGCCCACTGCAAAATGACTAAAACACTCCAATATAGTACCTCTTGAAATGAGTTACTATTCTGGAGCATTTCAGTTTTTGTTACTTGTGCACTGGGACAAGGAGCTGTGTAGCTTTTGAATCCTGCTCTGAGTCCCAGGGCACTGCCATGTCCCTGCAGGAACCCCTGCCAGACCTTTGATTATCCTTGCTGCTGCCAGAGCCAAACAGGAATCAGAGCTGAATTTACCTCCTTATTCCCCCTTCCCAGCAAGACCCTTGCTGACTCCCAGGGTCCTCACCAGATCTCCTCTACCACTTTGCTTGGCTGAGAGGGGAAAGGAGAGGTTTCTGGTTTGGTGACTGGACAATGGAATTCTGGTAGCAGGAAGCTCCTCCCACCCACCTCCTCCTGGCACTTACCTCTCCACTCTGGCAGTCTACCTTCCCTCTCTGGGAGAAGTAGCTGGGGGGGGGGGGGGGGGGGGGGGGCGCGAGAGTCACAGATCACTGCAGCCTCCTTTAGTTCCCCTTAGTTGGTGCTAGAGCAGGCTGCAGTGTTTTGCAGTGTTCCAGCTGGGAAATGTCACCAAGCTCGTCTGTATGTCCCCTAGGTGAAATAATTCCTTTTTAAACATTCACAAGCACATTTCACCCACAGATTCCTAAAACACCTATATGCCTGCCTCACTTTCCCCTCCTCTCTTGAACATTCTTTGGGATTTGGATCTATATCTTCCAAAGAAGCCAACATCCTACCTCTCACACATGGCCTTGTGGAGTCTTTCTTTCAAAGTTTGCCACCTTATTCAAGGATGCAGTTGCTCTTTTGTTCTTCTCAGGTTAGACCAATTCAGGGACTTCAAAAATCAACCTGTTCAAGGATAAACATGTTAGAACCACTCCTGTGTCTCTATGTATGAAAGACCATAAAGCAAAACACAGTAAAAAGACAGTCACAAAACATAAGGATGCAGAGTTCATAGAATTAAATTGGCATGAATACTTTTTACATACACAAATTCCTGAAATTGTTATCTACTCATGGTTAACTTGCCAAGTCCTTATCTGAGTTCTGAGTGTGTTTCCTTATTCTCTACTTTTACTCCATATCTCTTTTATAGTCAGCATCTTTCTAACTGAAGGGATTCTTTCCAAAATCCTTTCTGTGATGATTTAATTGGCTGGAGGAATTGCTTTTGATCCTGAGACCTGCAAAATATGTTTTCTCCTCCAGACAGAATCCTATGCAACATTCAGAGTTCATTGGTGGCCCAGAGGACAGGAGGCTAGGATTGAGTAATGAATGCATGTCTTAGACACAGCAGTACAGATGACTACCTCTAAACTGTGTTATAAATAACTAACTAGCCCTTAATGATGGATTAATCCCATTAATTGAACAATTGTTTGTATTGTGTTGTACAGTGCATTAGATATCCTGGAAGAAATTAACCTGTCTATGGGGCGCAGAAATCACTTCAGTGAAAGAGCTCTGGACAAGCTACTTGATAACAACCTTTCACAAAAATACAGCCAGTTGGGGTATTTATCATTCAGTAACATCATTACTGACAGCTTCTATGATTATGGTCAGGTAAATTACTTTAACATTAATTTTAAGATGCATGATGGGCCTGATGCTTTAGTCCTTAATAGGCAGAGTAATGAGTTTGTGACCTCTTAGTGCCAGCAGAGTATGAAGGAGTCAAAGCAAGGGCCACAAACCGGCCCCCTGAAATTGTCTTGCATCCCTTCTAATGCTGATACACATGATTAGGTTTTTAATCTTTCATTCACAGTTGATTCCATATGTGTTGTGATGCTGCTCCCACAGAGGAAATCTTTATGATCCCCTATATGCTATGCAACCTGTCTCCTTTTCTAGATCACACCTCAAGACATTCAACTGTGTTCCTGTTTTCTTTCACCACAATATAACCTACCACCTAAAACTTGTCCTTTTCACCAAAAGAACTAAGGAACTGAAAGGATCTGTACACACACAGATCCAAGATTTTGAAAAGGGGGTGTGGGCTATGGGGGTGGGTGCAGCCATCCCACTCCCAGGAGGCAGATCACACTGCAGTAGCCTATGCCAAGGACTTTTTTGAGTCCCCAAAATAAGTAGGACTCCCTTGCCTCTTTACCCCCTACCATGAATGACTCATGCCTCCTGAGGCTAGGAGGGGCACAGCGACCACCCACTGGTGGCAGCGGCATTGTTGGCAGTGGGGGCATGGTGGCGGCGAGCCGGGACCACCTGTAGGCAGCCATGGTGACATCGACGGTGAGGGCAGGCCAAGCGGGGACCACCCAGAGGCAGCTGCAGTGATGTCAGCGGCAATGCTGGGCCATGTGGGGACCACCCACAGGTGGCCGTGGTGACGTCAGCAGTGAGGGCGGGCCGAGTGGGGACTGCTTGCAGACGGCTGCAGTGGTGTTGGTGGCAGGGGGGCAAGCGGTGACTGCCCACAGATGCTGGCAATGGCGGCAGTGACCAATCTCAGGGGGGCATGTGCCCCCTGTCCCCCCCCCCATGCGTCGCCTATGCCTCTTACCTCACTCTGGGCAGCCCCTACCCTCTAGCACTCAGCAGCACCTCCATTCCTCTCCCTTTTCCCCCTCCCCTTCTCTAGCAGGGGGTGCTACTAGACATAGGAAGGGGGGGATCAGCCCCCTACCACTGCTGTCCCCCACTGGTCCAGGGCAGGGGAAGCCCCAGAGCTGTTTCTACCCTGCTCCAGCCAGGGACAGCCATGAGCAGCTCCATGGGGTGTTAGGCTCAGCTGATGGCAGTGGCAGGTGGGTCCCCCACTTCCAGTGTCTGCTCCCTGCCTAGTCCCCCTGGGTTTCCCCTGCTGGCCAAGAGCAGACTCAGGAAGGGAGGACTGCTCACCAAAGCTGCAGTCCCTGGCACAGCCCAGCACTCAGCATAGCCACTCCCCACAGTTGCAGTGCTGAGGAAACCCAGGTGTGAAGATGGGGAGCAGGGACCTACCCACTGCCAAAGTTACCAAGCCTAGCACCCCATGCAGCAGCTCCCAGCAGGCCCCAGTGGAATGGCATAAATGGCCTGGAACTTCCTCTGCCCTTGTCAGCTGGGGCCGTGGCAGGTCCCCCACTTCCTTACCTGCTCTCTGCTTGGTCCCTGGGTATCCCCCCCAGGTTGGTGCTTCAGCTGTGCTTTGGACTCTGCAGGGGCATCTGTGGCTGCAGGGAACTGGAGTCACCAGCAGGTGAGCTACACTGTTGAAGCAGGGTGCAACTACACTACTGCACCCCCCCCCCCCCCGATCTGCCCCAGATATATACATTATCAAGTGTGTCTCTCTGTCACAGCATTCTTTCCCAGAAAATGCCACTTCCATAAATATCACCCCTACTTTGTCATCTAGCGTTGGGTTGTTTTTAAATTGGGAATGGGATTTTCAGAAGTGTCTAATTGACTTTCAGTGCAATTGTACTGCCTAGTTACTTAGGTGCTTTTGAAAATCACAGCCTAGATTGTATAGTCTTCAGAAGCATGAACCTATCTGTCTTTATTCTAAACTTGTTCAGGATGCAATATTAGTAAGAATAACAACACTTACAGTGTTGTAAAGTAACTTACATTGTAGTTACTTTTAAAACATCTTCTCTATGACAGGTAAATGAAAACATGATTTTATATATATTTGGATGCATTTGTAATTTTAAGTTTTCATGTTTATTCTGTTAAATATTCGGCATCTTAAATGAATCTTTTTAACTTATTCTTTCAAAGTAAGCTATTCAACTTTAGTGGAATAAAATATCTTATCTCTTCTAATTAAATTTTTTTTGTAGGTAAAACCTGGAGTGAAACTTTTGTCTTTGGAGGAACTGAGTACACAAGAGCTTAATGATCGTCGAGCTGTAATCTTAGTTAATATTAAACCACCAGAAGTGTGAGTCACATTTGCTTTGGAATATTGATTTTTTTTTTAAATAACTTGGGCTTTTCACTTTGCCTTTCTGATAACCCAGTAGTGCTATGATATTTTAGCTTGAATTTTGTTATCTGCTTTGTTCCTAATATTGTTTCAGCTCTTACAAAACAATAATTCTGCATTTTATAAAGAATGCTTATAGTTCTTTATTTCCTTTGAATAGAAGCAAATTATTCAGTTGCTTTTACTTCCTTAGACAAATGAGCACTAGAAGCTCCTCAATTTAGCGCCCTTTGACTAATTCCTGGGTGTGTGTGCACACATGTGTGTGTATGGGGTGGGGGGCAGGACTCCAAAGCTTTTAGTTAGAAAAGCCAGTATCTGTATTACAAATCAAGACCTTTGGGTGCGTGGTGCTCAATCTCCAGCCCATAGGCCAAATCTGGCCCACGGAGCTTTGTCATCCAGCCCATGGGGCTCCTCAGAAGTCTGGAAATTTTGCAGGAGAGGAGCTGTGGCAGCATTAGTTGCCATGGCTTCCAGAGTCGGATCCAGTGTGTGGGGCCAGGCCAGCATATGGAGTTTTTTTGTGGATGGATCTGGGGCATGCAGCTGGGGGGCATTCCAGATCACACCCATGGACTAATACCACGTGCCAACCCCATGCTGAATCAGGCCTACAGATCAACCTTGTTTACAGATCTGGCCTGCAGACCAGCCCCACACCACTCATCCAGCTTGCATGGCTGAAAGGTTGAGCAAGACTGCTTTAGCTGAATTCTAGTCTCTGAATTGCAAAGAAGCCACATTAAAAACAAACAAACAAACAAAAAATTCAGCACTTTACTTTAAACTCTGCTCATTCCTGCGTTGAGCCAAGCACATGCCCAGAAAAGGCAGTGTGTTAGCTGGATTTGGCTCACCCAACATCTGTATAGATCCGGCACATTAGTGGGGCTTTTTTGGCACTTTTATCTAAAGCTGATTGAATCAGCTTTAGATAAAAGGTTTAAATTGAATCAGCTTTAGATAAAGACTCTAAAATGCCCTGCTGAAGCACCTGATCTATACTGATGCTGTGGAGCAGGGTAGAAGTAGCGCTCTGGTTCTTCTGGTAAAGCGCGTTGTTTTGTGTTTGGGGTTGGGTTTTTTTGTTTTTTTGGGTGGGGGGGGAGGGGGAGGGGGTTATAATGTCTGTAAGCAGCCTTGTTCATTATCTTCCTCAACCAAATAATTGGAGCTTTAAGCAAAGATAGGACACAGCCAAACAGCTATGCTTTTAGCGGGTCTTTACTTTTTGTGGTGGAGTACAGCCACCTCTTTCCTATGTAGATAAAAGCTCACTTAACAATTCCTGTTACATTTTAAGATTGACACTTAGTTTATTTAACTGTAAATAATTTAATCTGAACAGCATCCCAGATTATAGAAGGCTTTGTCAGTACTTTATAAATTGTAAACCCTCCCCTTTTCTAATCTCCGCTATCATTACCCTCCCTTTTTAATTTCTATTTGATACAGTAGAGATCTTCGAGACAACCTCAACCTCAACACTCTTTGCAGACCCCTAAAGTTGTACTTGATTCCATCAAATATTCTTTCTTTGCTTTTGTCACACACGTAAAACCCTATCATCAGTATACTGGGCACAACAACTGAATAATATTATACTTCTCGTATAAATATGTTTGTTTTGTTTTAAAGGTAAAATAAGCCTATTAGTATACAGTAATGTAAAAATACCTTGTATTATTTCAGTGCCCTTACTGTGGAGGAAAAATTACAAGATCTAGTTTATGGACGAACCATAAATTTGTCGCCATCATCATCTTTTAGAAAAAGTAGTAAAGAAAGAGCAAGGTATGATCTTTGAATTTATTAGCAGTCATTGAACTATAAGTGTGCAGATACCTGAATTCAAACAAGGCTTAATGACTTTTACTTGTTTTAAAGCCAATTTGAATGGAAGGGAAACAATTTCTAAATTTATAGTTATGCTTTTCTATTGTAATAATAAAATGATGGGTATTTTATAAGGGAATGTAAACGCACCCTTGGACTCATTTCTCTTTTCTGCCTCGGGGAGCTTTGAGCCCTCATCTCCCATACAAATTCTGTAACCACCAACTTACAGGATATTTAGGGTAGGATTTTCTCAGTGTCTGCTATTTAAACTGTTCCACTCTGCATGAAATAGTTAAATATTCATCAGGACAGAGTAAGGGACAGTGAGCATGACCATGGCCTAACAGTAAGGGCACTTATCTGAGCTAATTTCAAACTCTTTCAGGCAGAGGAGAGGATTGAACTGTAGTCTCTCATATCTTCTGTGCTCTAATCACTGTGCTATTGGATAAAATTGCAGTTGAACCACCACCCTGATGACAGTAGAGAAAAGACAAACCTAAATGCCTAATTTCAGGGTTCAGGGATCAGGGTTCTCAATCCTGATTGATATAACCTTCCACTTGTGTTCCAAAGTTAGGCGTCCTTTCCCTTGATCAGTGTGGTATAATCCATGTCCCCCTCTGTGACATTTACTTAGTTAAAGGAACTCTCCAGGAAGCATCCTAGCTTTTGTGAATCTCATTATTAGGTGCCTCAATCTCCTTATATGTAAGGAGCCTATGGCCGAGATCAACATAGGATTTAGGCACCCAAAGTGGGACTTAGGCAGAATGTAATACTTAAATCCAAGAATACAATCCTCAAAAACTCAATGTAACCCCTTAGGAACTTTAGGGTTCTTATGTATGTGCTTGGGGGTGGTGGGGAGAGAGAGAACCACACTAATTAAAACGCCTCACCATCATATGTATTAAGCATCCTGCTTTTCAAAATGGCTGTGGGGCACTTTAACTAAAGCTCATTTAATGAGGTTTAGATCTAGCCCTGCAGCCAATTTGAAACACAAGGCACTTAATGCACATGACGGAGAGGCATGCTGGAGTGTTTTAATTAGAACGCTCCAGCAGACTCGATTAACTGAGTCTGTTCTGACACGGTCTAATTAGAATGTGTCAGAGGACATCTATAGGCAACCTTAGTTTTTGCCGAGAATTTTTCAGTGCCTAAAGTTCTGCTTCTAGCCATGCCCAGAGCTGTTGCTGTCTATGCAGGCCTGAGCAACATGATGCATATTTCACACCAAGTCTGATTTGGGAATCACAAACCATGCATTCCTCCACCAAGTCACTTGAGGGGTCAAAACCAATAGGTGTGCTTAGAGCAGGCCTAACACACACAGGACTAAGTTCTATGCAAAACACAATAGCCAGGGCACAATAGCCATTTTCATTCAAAAAGATTGATCGTCATGGTAATTAAAGCAGTGGCTCAGAATATCTGAGACCTGGATTCTCAGTCTGACAGGAGTCAAATCCAGGAGGAAGGATTTAAGAGACTCTCTCTTCAGGTTTTCTTCTGCCAAGCTTAGATGGCCCTCTGCTTAATATGCCAGCTGTTGTGAATCCCATCTGAAGTGCCTACCTCTCCCTCTGAATCACAGGGGGAGTGCAGGTGCCTAACTAGGAGCTCTGGATTCTAAGCAGTAGGATGCTGAAAAATAGGTGCTAGATCTAGCCCTAGGATCCAAAATTTCATTTTTGAAAGAGGTATAGTCTTTAAACCAATGTAAAAAGAAAGTGGACATACAATATGTAGCCCTGCTTGCTCAAATATGATGTAGAATTAGAAGTCACACAAAGAAGTTGCAAGCCCAACAGAGTCCTGTTACCCTTGTCCCCAAATCAAATTGGGCTGCAAGTTTATTTCCCCTTCAGTTGGAGAACTGTTTGAGGAGGGGCTGTTTCCTCTCTATTCTAGTGCCATGTTGGTGCTGGTTTGAATACAGAGGTCTGATTAGTGAAGAATGTAGCTCGGAGTCTCTTTCTCAGTCAGGCTTTTATAGCTCTTTTCAGCTCCTTTCTTCTTTGGGTCTTTTACAGAGGGGGAAAGGAAGAATAAGTCAGACATACACTATTTGTAGTGTCACAAAAAGAGTGTGGTGAGGGCATGCGAGGCTTATACACATGCACTGTTTCCTGACTGGAGTGCTACAAATAACATACTCCAACATGTTCCTGATAGGCTTCCAAGGAAGGAACTGATCAGGTTGGTTGAAAGTCGCCTGTGGTGGCAACAGCTGATCAGGAGGAGAAGGGGAGGGAGAGCAGAGGACTGCAGGATGTTGGGGGCCTGAGAGCACCCCTGTAGTTTTACATTTAACCGTACAGTTGTTATATGTGATGCTACCAAAGGCAGCACTGCAAAAAAGTTTCTGTTTGAAATGGGATTTTTTTTTGGTGGATCCATCTTCTTTGTAGCGCTACAAACAGCCTGAACATATATGGACACTCATATACGTAACAATATAAGGGTTTATGTAGTGCTACAAAAGTAAAATGTATCCAAGACCCAAGCCTGATGTCTCATTATTTGATTAAAAGTAAAGTTTTTTATAATATCAACCAGGAGCAGCCATTTCCCTTCTGGTTCCTGCT